AGAGAGAGAGAGAGAGAGAAAGAAAGAAAGAAAGAAAGAAAGAAAGAAAGAAAGAAAGAAAGAAAGAAAGAAAGAAAGAAAGAAAGAAAGAAAGAAAAGAAAAGAAAGAAAGGCAGACAATATACATTTTATGCATATGGCCGGGTGTGTTTAAGTGCCCGGCATGCATGCGGGAGCCCATAAAGGTCAGGAGAGGGTGTTGGGCTCTATAGACGGTTGTGAGCTGCTGTGTGGGTGCAGGGAACTGAGCCTGGCTCCTCTACAATAACAGTCAGCGCTCTTAACTCAGCCATTTCTCTAGTCCATGTCTGCTTTATTTTGGCCTCTACTTCTGTAGGAATGTGTAATTGGCAGGATCATCTTAAGATCAACTTAGAACTTGTGTTTAGTGTCTCTTTCTATACCAAAACACATGGCAGCACTTTGGGAACAGTTGGGCCAATGAGGGTCTGCTGGCTAGTCCTTGTGTACATGGCATTTATGGCAATAAATCATTGGTATGGAGGTTGTCTGGGTGGTAGGTGTTCATCATCAGCAGAATTCTGTTGTTTGGTCTTTTTACTCTTTGGGGGCCCGCCACCCAGTTCCCAAATAAATACAGAGACTTATTCTTACTTATGAATGCCTGGCCTTCACTTGGCTTGTTGTCTAGCCAGCTTTTCTAACTTAAATTATCCCGTTTCTCTTTAACTATGTTTTGCCTCTGGACTTTTTACCTTTCATTATTCTATATATCTTCCTTTCCGTCTCATTCCATGGCTGGCTGTGTGGCTGGGTGGCTGACCCCTGGGGTCCTTCTCTCCTCCTTTTCTCCTCCCCCTTCTTCGGGCTTGGATCACTCCTATTTATCCTCTCTGCCTGGCATCCCCACCTATCTCTCTCCTGCCTAGCTATTGGCCATGCAGCTCTTCATTAGACCAGTCAAGTGTTTTAAACAGGCACAGTAACACAGCTTTACAGAGTTAAACAACTGCAGCATAAAAGAATGTAACACATCTTTGCATCATTAAACAAATATTCCACAGCATAAACAAATGTAGCACATCTTAAACTAATATTCCACATTTCCCCCTTTTTGTCTAAACAAAAATGAAAAGTTTTAACTTTAACATAGTAGAAAACTATATACCACAAAAACAGTTATCAAGAATTAAATTACATTTACAATATTCAGTCCATTTGTATTTGTGAAAGTCAGAAAATACTTCATAATCTATCTTATCTTAGTGATTCCAAAGTTCTATACTTAATTTATTTTCTATCATAACTAGGGAAAACTACAACTATAACTATTTAGTCTTTAACTCCATCAAAGACTCCAGAAGGATGGAACAGAGACATTTGGTTGTCTGGACAGTCACCCAAAGTTTCTCTGCACCATTGAGGCATCCATTTTTTGCCTGCAGTGAAGCAGGAAATTTGAAGGACTGTCCTGCCTTGTTTTGGCAAAGTTCAGCAGTCACTTTCCTCTGTGTCCTGCGGAATGTCTGGCAGACTCTTCTGTGAAGCAGGACTCTCAAAGGACTGTCCTGCCTTGTCTTAGCAAACTTCAGTGGTCTTTTTCCTATGTGTCCTGCATGTCCAGTCTCTACAGCAGTCAAGGCAAGAACAGTTTCTTTCCCAAATGGCTAGCCTTGCCACATTGAAAGCAAACTCCATATGGAGTTTCTTTGATGACCATCATCTTTTTTTTTTTTT